CACACACCCCCAACCCTCCCCCTCCCACCACACCCCCAACCCCTACCCCTCCCCACCCTCCCCCAACCCCTCCCCCTCCCACCACCACCCCCAACCCTCCATAACCTCTATCCCTCCCATCCCCCCCACCCCTCCCACCACACCCAACCCCAACCCGTCCCTCATACCTTCCCTGGCGAGTCCGACAGATGTAAACAAACCCCTATCCACAAAGTGAGTTCCGATGCCTTACAAGTGGCCTCTGGAATCTCTTTGTTTCCATACTGTTAATGAATTCCCATGGACTAGACAGGGTTTGGTTGGCTTCCTCACAGTTATTGTGGAGTTTTTTTTTTCTTTTCTTTTCCTAAAGTAGGTAAGGTGAAGAGAGAGGAAGGAAGAGGAGAGAAGGGATAGGTGAGAGATGGAATGAAGAACGTCTTTTCCTAAAGTAGGGTAACGGGAAGAAGAGAGAGAAGGGATAGGGTGAGAGGAATGAAGAACGTAAAGGTGGAAGAGAAGAGGACGTCTTTTCCTCTTTTCCTAAAGTAGGTAAAGGTGGAAGAGAGAGGAGAGGAAGAGTGAGAGAAGGGATAGGGTGAGAAATAATGAAGAGACGTTAAAGGTAGGAAGGAGAGAAGAAGGAAGAGGAGAGAAGGGATAGGGTGAGAAATGAATGAAGAACGTAAAAGGTGGAAGAGAGAGAAGAAGAGGAGAGAAGGATAGGGTGAGAAATGGAGAATGAAGAACGTAAAGGGAAGAGAGAGGAAGAGAAGAGGAGAGAAGAGGATAGGGTGAGAAATGGAATGAAGAACGTAAAGAAGAGGAAGAAGGAAGAGGAGAGAAGGGATAGGTGAGAAATGGAATGAAGAACGTAAAGTGGGAAAGAGAGAGGAAGGAAGAGGAGAGAAGGGATAGGTGAGAAATGGAATGAAGAACGTAAAGGTGGAAGAGAGAGGAAGGAAGAGAGGAGAAGGATAGATGAGAAAATGAGAAGAACCGTAAAGGAAGAGAGAGAAGAAAGAGGAAGAGAAAGGATAGGGGCGAGAAATGGAATGAAGAACGTTAGGAGATTGTATGGATGGATAGATCGATACTAATAGATTGGATAGATGATAGATGATGGGCAGGAGATACATAGAGATTAATAGATATAGATGCAGACGGATAAACAGACGCATAGATATAGATAGATATAAAGATAGCTATGCTAATAGATAGATGGATGGACAAAGATAATTACATATAAAACGTGCACCTGTGAACGTATAGGAGGAGAGGGGGAGTAGAGAGAAAGGAAGAGGAAGAGGAAGAACAGAAGAGAAAAAAGAAGGAAAAGGAGTAGATGAAGAAGGAGGAAGAGAGGAGGAGAAGGAGGAAGAGAAGAAAGAAGAAGAAGAACAACAACAACAACAACAACAAGAAAAAAAGGAAAACGAGAAGGAATAGGCAAAGAAAGATAAAGATTAGGATAAGAAGAAGAAGGAAAAGATAGATAAAAAAAAAAACGAAAGATGACTCGAGCACGTACAATAAACAAGAAAATAAACGAGTGCCTTAAAGCGTGTTTACCTTTGAAAGCTCTGAAAAAAACGCTGTCTCGCACACACGCTCCGCTACCCGAAAAGATTGCGGGATAAAGCAAAAAAAGAAGAAGGTACAAGGAGAGGAACAGGTAGAAGAGAGAAGAGAGAGAGACGAAAGAGAAAAAGAAACGTAGAGAGAGAGAGAGAACGGAAGAGAAAAAGAAACGTAGAAGAGAGAGAGAGGAGAGAAGAGAAGAGAGAAAGAGAGAAGAGAGAGAGAGAGAGAGAGAGAGAGAGAGAGAGAGAGAGAGAGAACGAAAAGAGAAAAAGAAGTAGAAGAGAGAGAGAGAGAAGAAAGAGAAAAGAGAGAAGACGTAGAAGAAGAGAGAGAGAAGAGAGAAAAAAGAAAACGTAGAAGAGAGAGAACGAAAGAGAGAGAACGAAAGAGAAAAAGAAACGTAGAAGAGAGAGAGAGAGAACGAAAGAGAAAAAGAGAAACGTAAGAGAGAGAGAGAGACGAAAGAGAAAAAGAAACGTAGAAGAGAGAGAGAACGAAAGGGATAGAAGAGAGAGAACGAACGAGAAGAGAGAGAGAGAGAACGAAAGAGAAAAAAGAGAAAGAGAGAGAACGAAAGAGGAAAAGAAACCAAGATAGAAGAGCACGAAAGGAAGAGGAAAAGAAAAAAGAAACGAGAATCAATGGGGAAGAAAACGAAAGAAAGAAAGACAAGAAAAAGGAAAAAGAAAAAGAAAAAAAGTGTCCAGAACATCCGAAGAAACAAGAGAGAGACCGGAAATGGCTGCTAATGCCTCCCGGTCGCCCACAATAGAGAAGAAGAGGGTCATTCAGCCCTCTCGTATCTCCCCTCTTTCTTCCCCTTTCCCCTCTCTCCTTCTTCTCTCAACCCTCTTTTCGTCCCCTCTCTCCTTCCTCTCTTCCTCTTCCTCCCACTCTCGCTCGCTCCCTCGGCCTTGACCTGACCTTCTCATATCGTGTGGTATTCCCTTTTCCCCTATGCCTCCTCTCTTTCCCCTCTCTCTCTCTGATTTTTCTTATCTCCACTCTCTCTCTCCGTTCTAGTTCTTCCCATTCTTCCCTGATATGACTTCTTATATCGCATGGTATTCCCTCTTCCCCCTATGCCTCCTCTCATTCTTCCCTCTCTCTGACTTCTCTGCCCTGACCTTCTTATCTTGTATTCCCTCTTCCCCCTATACCTCCTCTCGTTCCCCCCTCTCTCTCTCTCTTCTCTCAATCTCCCCTCTCTCTCCCTCCTTCCCCTCTTCCGTCTATTTCTCCCCATTTCCCCGACGTGATCTCAATGACGTATGGTAAATCTCTTTCCTCTTCCCCTCTATTTCTCCCCATTCTTCCCTGCCTTTCTCATATCGTATGGTATTCCCTTTTCCCCTATGCCTCCTCTCCTTCCCCTCTCTCTCTCCCCCTAATCTCTCACCTCCCCTCTCTCTCCCTCCTTCCCCTCTTCCTCCTCTATTTCTCCCCATCCTCCCCTGACCTGACCCTCTCACATGACCCTAGGCTAGACAGCCGCCTAGGCCTGAGTCTCTCTCCATCGCCGATTTATTTACAAACATTGAAGACGACAGCTCATTGGCGGAGCGGCGAGTGGGAGGGGACAGCGTTCACTTTTAATCAATACGACCCACACCTGGTCAACAGCAAACAATAAGTCTTGCTACCTGGCATGCTATCTCTTTCTGCGGGTGATGGACGGGGGGGGCGGAAAGTGGGGGGGGATGGATGGGGGGGGAGGGAAGGGGGAAGGGAAGGTGCATTCTTCTGCATGGTCGGTCCGTCTTTTTTTGTTTGTGTATGGTTGGGCTATCGGTGTCTGTTTCTATATCCGGTTAATATTCTTGTTTGTATATATATATGTTGCTGTTTTTTTTTCATTTCTATCGAGGTGATGTCCTTGTTTGGAATATAGGCCTACTTTTCTTCTTTTTGTACGGTTGAACTATTGATATTTTTTCTATATGTCCAGTTAAAGAGATGTAGATTTATTATATTCTTATTTTATATCCTTTTTATTATTATTATTCTATCGAGGTGATGTCCTTGTCTGGAATATAGGCCTATTTTTATTTCTTTTTTTTATACGGCGGTGGAGCTATTGTTTCTATACCCAATTAAGATCTGGATGTAGATGTTTATAATCTCATTCGTATTTTTTTTCATTCTAAAGCGAGGTGATGTCCTAGTCCGGAATATAGGCCTATTTTCACGACAGAAGTAAAAAGACACGGTGGGGGGGGGGGAATGGCCCTTGTCTGTTGCATAAAAATCCTCACATTCTTCCGTCGCATATTGCATAAAAAGTGAGTCTTTTGCAGAACTTTTGCGAAAGACATTTGACTCTTCGGCAGACATTTGTTAATGAATAATAACAATACAATAAGTAAAACACCTTTTTAGTATAAAAGAATTGATATCACGTCGTAAAAATCGCTTATTTTGTTGCCGTTTTTTACACGAAATTAATATCTTATGACAAATAAACATAACCAAGAAGAAAGAGGGATAGATAGAGAGAAAAGAAAATGCATGTGTATGGATAGTGTGGAATTCACGACGAACAGATTGCACCAAGAACAACGAAGGGAAGGACAAGAAAACACACGAATATGCCGAAGGCCTTTTCGCTTATGCTTCGTCAGGGCATACATGTATGACCCGACGAAGCATTAGCGAAAAGGCCTTCGATATATTCGTGTGTTTTCTTGTCCTTCCCTTCGTTGTTCCTGTTGTGTATGGATAGATAC